GCGAATGGTACCAACAACAGTGCACAGGGAACAATATTATTTTTGGGTATTATTATTTCCATTGAATATTTTATGCTATAAAATGAGGCGGCTTGGTCCCCGAAGCGTTGCTCCCAGATATTTGATGTCCCTGGTAGAATTGTTAATTCATAGTGTGGTTCTCCAGCTGTGCAGCCGGCAACTTTTGCTGATCGGTACCGTATGGCTTGGTGGTCAATTTGTTAAAGATCCGGAGACTGCTTTAGTTTCCCGAAGGGAATACCAGCTCAGCATTTGATAGTCCTTGAAAAAGATGCTTTGAGGCAAGGGGGCCTAACTTTGCATCATTTCGCCGGGCTGTTGGTGGCATTGGTGGGTTTAGAAGGGAGAGGGGAAGGCGAGGGCCCCGTCCCCTTTCTCCAGTCCTCCCTCCAGGAGCTCAAGTAATAGCTGTTTTACTGTAGAAAACTCCGTTCGATACTACGGCCTGTTGCCGCACCCCCTTCAGGAGTCCTTCCTCCCCTCCCTTCTCCCTCTCGCGGACTTCGCCGTAGTTTAGGTCGGCTAGCGGGGTGGGGTGGGGGATAGTGCGACGATCGAGGGGCGGGTAGCGAGCTGCCAGAGGGGCTAGGGTGCAGTGATGAAGCCAGAAGGGAAAGTGAAAAATCGCACCTCTCCCTGTCCCCTCCTCTGGGGACCGCCCTGTAGCAGCCCGCGGTTGGTGCTGGTACCAGGGTCCTCTTTTTACTCTGTAGAAACAAACTTTCCGGAACAGTTTTGGTTTTCCCAGTTTTGAGCGCTGCCTAAGTTCATTTCGTTAATAATTAGCCAACGCACGGGCTGCCCGTGCGAAGATGCGTTTTTTGCATAGTTCCTCGCAGTTTTTGTTGCTACCGATACCGGCTTTTTCGACAAATGCTTCTAGCTAAACAAATTATGACTGGCCGCCAGAGCTGTCAGAAAACCCCCCCCCCCCTTGAAATTTCAGCTTTCCAGCTTCCCTGGTCCCTGAGTTAGCAACTTACTGGAAGAAAACTTTCATGGGCCCGTGCGAGTTTAACACGCATACCCGAGAGTTAGGTTTGAGCTGAATGAAA